TATTTAACCCTTGTGCATCAGTTAAATTAGCATTAGGATAATAACTATTTAATATTTTGTCAGTTTGATTCATAACATTAGTTATTTTAGTTGTTTTCTTATAAGGTTGATAATGTTTAATTTTCCCATGCTTCATTTCATAAATTAACTTTTTATTATTAATCATATAATTAAAGCTATAAATTAATTTCTAAATTAATTAATAATGCTCACATATAAGAAGGTCTATATTGACAGTGCTCATAGGATTAGAGGTACATCATCAAATTTTAGAGTTGAATTGCCGGAAACATTACAAACAGACAACGGGGTTCATTGCTACATTCACGAAGTAACATTACCTAACTCGTGGTATTCAATACAGTCAGGATTAAATAATATACTATACTTTTATTCTTCTCCGTTAGTTCCAGATGAAGATAATACAAATGTTCATTGGATTGCTGTTGCATTGGCAGAAGGAGTTTATACTGGTACAGAACTGGCAACAGAATTAAAAACAAAAATTAACGGTATTGTTGATAATGTCAATTTCTCAAATACTTATGAAGTTACTTACAGTGTAAAAACTAATAAAATCACGATTTCTTCAAACTATGCCGATAGACAATTTGCAGTATTAACTGATGAACAAATGAAGATAATATATGAAAGTTATATTTGGATTGGAAGTTTTGATGCTAATGATTTAAAGTCTGTTAATGAAGTTTTAGGAAATTATCAAATGAATGTTTATCAATATGGTAATGCTTATGTTTCTGGTTTCGTTAATCTTCAACCTATTAGAAATATTTATATTCATTCTTCTCAATTGTCTAATTATAATCAAGTAAATTTAAGGACAGGCGATAGCACAGTTGTTAAGAAAGTGCCAGTCACAGCACCACACGCGGGAATTGTCTTTGATAATGAAATGAACCCTCTCGATTACTTGGATGTGTCAAATAGAAGCTTTAAACAGTTAGACTTCTGGTTGTCTAATTCATTAGGTAATGAAATTAATTTGAATGGGGTTAATGTTAGTCTGAGTCTCCTTTTCGTAAAAAGTGATATTATTTAAATATATTCTATATAGAAATTTAATAGAAAATATATAGAATATATTATATGACAAGTATTGAGGTAGTAGATGTTAATAATGAAACTAAAACAGACGAAGCACCTATTAATAATGAGGTTGTTGAACAAAATGAAACAGTTAATGAAGAACCAACGCCAGAAGAACCAACTGAAGAACCAACAAAAGAAACCATAGACAAACCAAAAGCAAAAGCAAAAGCAAAAGCATTACCAAGAACAAAGAAAGAAATTGAAGTAGTCCAATGTGAAAAATGTGGTAAATCTATGAATGCTAAATCACTTCGTTTTTCACATCCTAAGAATTGTAAGGGTGTGCCTACTGAATTATTACCAGTCAATCCACAAAAGAATATTAGAAAGATTCAACCAGAATTGAAAGAAGAAATTAAGAATGAGATTAAGCAAGAAGTGATTAAAGAAACCATTAAGAAACCCACAGCAACAGAACTATTAAACCAACATTATGAAGAACTTAAACAAAAGAAAAAACAAGATAAACAAGAAAAAATAAACAAATTATCTTCATCAATGTTTTAAATAATAATCTAATTATAATATATATACATCATGCTTATGAGAAGTCATAGAAATGTAGAATTCAAAAGAGCACCACAAGTAGAACGCCATTATGACGTTTCAGATTTATGGGGAGTTGCCTCGCGTATGAATTACTTTAAACAGTTGAAGGACACACTGGAAGCGAAACAATCACAAGGAGCATTAATAAAGTATAGAAACGATTTAGTTGAAAGCAACAGAACCGAAAGTTATAGAAAAGAGTTAGACAGAATAAGAAACATATTAGACAACACACGGTCACCAGACGGAATACAAACAAAGGAACAACTAACAGTAAGAAAGAAACATTTAGAAAAAATGATTAAGAATATCTCTGATTAATTTATTTTTCTAAATAATTAATATACTATGATTAAATCAATGAATAGATTGAATACAGTAGGACCGGTAAAAGTAGGGTCATTGAAATCACAATTACATTTGAGACCTTCTTATGATGAACTATTGAAAGAAACATTAGTAGGAGATGAGAACCGTCCATCAATTGAAAATGTAATAGACAGAAAAGCAACCAGATACAGATTAAATCAATACGGTAGTCAGTTTGATAATAAAGATGCTTTGGATATTCAGAAGAAACAAGAACTGAACAGAAGAGAAGAAGTTATGAAAGAAGCGTCGTCGGACGGTGGTAGTGTAAGAGCTAAACTTGATGACACACTGAAACAACAGCAGTCTTTCATTAATGAAAGATTGACGGAAGCAAACAAACAGAAAGAAGAACTTGCTGAAAAAATGAGACTTTGGAGAGAACAACACGAAGAAATGGCAAGTGCTGTTTCAAAACAATCAATACCAGAAGGTGTAGAAATTCATTCAATGGTGTCCGCTGATGAAATGCCAGAATTAGAACCATTAGAGGAAGGGGAAGAGGAAGAAGAAGAAGAAGACGACCCTGTAGTTGAAGTAGAAGCATTGAAAAAAGGTAAGGATGATGACGGTGACGCGCAAACAACCATTACTAATGCTGAGATAATGGAAATGCAAGAACAATCAATCGAAATAGAATTAAAAAATGTTGAAAATGAAGAAGTTGATGACGAACGAATTTTCAAAAATTATTTAAGTGGTATAAAGTGGATGTGGCCGGTATATTTAGCAAAAAATCCAAGAAGTTTAATGGATAGTATAATTTCAAAACTACATCAATTCAATGTAATTAACGCTGTTAAATATGATGAGTTCAAAGAATTATTAGATGAATATAACAATACAACAGGAGTAGATAGAAACGCAGTGAAGGTTAAACTACAAAAATATTATGAGGACAATGTTTATAATAAATACTTCGTCCATAAAGCAATCCAACAATAAATAATCTATAATATTTAATATGACTGATAAATATTATGGATTAAGACGACGCCCTACATTTGATGAAATGCTGAAAGAAGCGATGACACACAGATTAAAAATTGAAATTATCCCTGAAAGACAGACATTTGACAAATCAATTAATAATATAGACTTTGATGATTTTGATCTTTCAAAATACGATAGGAGACTACGATTGAATGCTAGGGTTCAAACTGATAAACAAGTTCTTCAACATGAATTGTTCCCTGATATGTTTGATGAAGTAGCACCAACATCACAGTTATATGAAAACAACGAGGCAGACGCACAAACAACACGATATGTAGCAAAAGATTTTGCTGATGAAATTTATAGCAATGCAATTTCAGGACCAAACGATGAACCAAAAGATGAACCAAAAGATGAACCAAAAGATGAAAAGCAGGAAGATTTACAAAGTCTTCATTTAACGTCATCATCGTCAGCATCAACCGTGAAAGAGGAAGAGAAGAAAGAGGAAAGCCGAGAAATAAAGTCATTAAGAAACATATTTTTAGGTGGAGAAGACAAGAGTGTGTTTGAATTATTCAAACGAGAAAAGAAGTCATCCTCACCGTCCATTCAATCCGAAGAACAAGAAGAACAACCAAGGGCATCATTCTGGACAAGACGACAGGTAGAAGCAAGAAGCAGAAGTCACTCACCAGAAGAAAGAGCAAGAGGCAGACAATGGGGTATAAGACAAATGGAAACTAGAAGCAGAAGTCGGTCACCTGAAGAAATAGCAAGAGGTAGTGAATGGACGAGGGAACAAATGGAAACAAGAAGCAGGAGCAGAAGCCCAGAAAACGCTGACACAAAAAGTAGCAGAGGCAAGAAGAAAAAATAAAACTACTTAAAGAAATGACCCCTTAATATATTAAGAAAAAAAATGAATAAGTGTATCAGAGAAGAATTCACAAAAGAAATTGTAAAATGCCGTGGTTGTAAGATATACAACAACAAAGTCAAAAAAGCAAATGACATATTTCCTGACTGTATCATTGATAATATTTTGAGTTTTGTATGTTGTAAAAGATGCACCATTATAAAACATTTAATGAAAAACGAACCTGACAATTTAAAAGAAATGGATAAGTGGATTTGGTATATGACGAGGTTAAATAAATGTCCAACGAAAAAGTCATTACGGACAATATTTACAACAGGTTTAGACAAAACCTTAAAAGAGTATGGATATGATAATATGTTAGTTTTATATTATGATAGTGCTTTCAAGTTTCATTATAATTTACTTTATCATAACAATGATGCTTATGTGTCTTGTAGGGATTTTAGTGTTTCAATGTGTAGAGATTTTCTGAAAGCATTGAAGTGGCAATATATAAAAAACAAAGACAAGGTCGTTTATAAAAACATTTTTGATAATGAGTTTTACCATAAATTCGTCTGTCATTTGTTAGAAAAGAAAAGGTTGATTATAGAATGGTTTACTTATAGAGATATTGTTGATAGTGATTATGATTAAGTTTATTCATATTATTTAACTATAATATGGTTAAACACTTGTATCCCCCAGAAAGCCATAAAATTGTCTGAAACCCGAACCTTGAAAATGTCAATATCTTAGACTGTTATGAAATGAAAAAATTGTAAAAAAATGTTGAGAAAATTTAGGAAAATTCCCCAGAAACCCTATTTGTGTTTTGAACAAAATGATTGACTTGTTTAATTTCTTCCCTGAACCCTGAAGCCCTAACTTGGAAAAACCCTACCTCAGACGCCCTATTATAATCATTTTTACCCCTCCCCTCCCCACCGCACCGCACCGCAGGGCACTCTTGCACGACAAGCCAATAGGCACTCACACAAGCACGCCCACACACACGCACCTGCTTTTTACCATGTCTAGGGGATTCCATTTGGTCCCCTATGTTTCTGTGCTTCCTGTGCATTGCTGCTCCCTACTTGAGTGTCTGCCTCTGAGGCGATTGAAACCAGGAGGATCCATGCTCATCCCTCACCTCAGAGCTTGACCACGGCACATGTAGGACGTCAGCGCGCTGTGGAAGTCAAAGAAGCTATAGCCGCCCTGGGGCAGCTCCACTTTTTCCTCGTGTGTCGGCCGAGTGACACGCTGGCCGGTCTTTGGACGCCCTACCTTCGGGCCTCGGTCAGCTTTTGCCGAGGCTCGCCGTACTCTAGACCCAAGGACTGACAAAAAGGCATCTCCTTTTCCAAGCTGTCCTAGTTTTGACCCACGTTCCCGGGCGGAACATGGCATCATTCCTGTGTCTCATGACAAGTCTGGCACATGTCTCCAACCCCGGGTTCATCGGAGTCAAAACCGGCCAGGCCATCTAGCCTCACAGATGCTCCCTAGGACAAATTGACAAATTGCAGAGATCCGTGAGAATTTGCAACGGGAACACCCTTCGGAGTGGCTGAAAAAGCAAACCAGAACAGTCCATTCCCACATGAAGGGCGGGTTGGTCAAAACATGTCGAATACCTCATTCTCCTTCGATTGGCCCCGTAGTGAAAAGCAAGAAATGGCAACGCTGACTGCTGGGTCAGCAATGTAGGCAACATGCTGGGATTCTTTTTAAACACTCGCCTAGGGCAATCCCTCGCCAAAAAAAGCGTTGTCCCTATTGGGCTCATTCCATTTTGATTTGCTAAGGCGAGCCAGCGGATTCGGAAAAAGGACCCACGATGGTCTGTGACAGGATAATGGCTGATCACTTTCAAGGGGGAATCCCATGGCCACTCACAGAAAGTGGCGATCGGAAAAACTATCACCATGCTTCGCGCGCCTTCTCCCAAACCAATTTCCCTTCCCAGACCAATTCCCGTGCAGTGAAAGGAGCTTCTGCATGAGGCTTGTCCGGCTTTCGCACCGTGAGCTGCCAATGCAGCTCATTCGCCACCTTCTCCTCCGTGCTGAAGCCTCAATGGCGGAGGCAAGACAAGGTTGAACTTCCGTGGTACGGCAACTAGTTGAAAGCTAGCTCTCCGACAAGTAACAAGAGAAGAAGCTGCACGCGAAACAAATGCGTGCGCATGTGCCGAGGAACAGAAGTGTCAAAAGAGTGCAACCTTCTGCGGGTTTCGGGCCTTCAGCTTGAGACTCTTCCCAGTTAAATTCGAACTGAATGTACAGAGACCCGTTCAACAGGGAACGCTCATCTTGTCGCCATGCTTTTCAGCGCGTCCGGCATACTCCCAACATCAATCATCAATCACCGCTTTTTGGCCAGATTCCGGAAGCTTGGCACTGCATCCTGCCCTTCTGCCTACGAACTGTGCCGCCGGGGCACCGCCGGAGACGCCAACCTGCCATGCCAGACTTGCAGTCCCCCCCCCCCAAAAGAAAAACGAAGCGTCAGCCTGTCCCCGCAGAGCGAGCTAAGGGTAAATCAGGGACTCTTTGACCATCGATGCCCCAAACAAGTCAGAGGTTCTTAAGTGAGAGGTAACTGGAGACTTGGCCTCCCATAACCAACCCCCAAGACCAGCTCGTCGCCCCCAGAAATTCTGTTCTAGTTGACAGGGACAAGATAAACCTTGATGCGATGGCTGTATCAGGGGCTTGTTGCATCCCTAGTTTTACCTTGCAATGGGTTAGCGGAATGCCCTAAGAGTGGAACATGCAGACTGAAGTTCACGTCTCCACCACGTCGGCACTGAGAACATAGCGCCATGTCAAAGCGCCCGGCTTCACTCTGGCCGAGCCAAAAAGTCCTTGAAGCATGTGTTGAACAACGGGGAACTCGGGAAACGGTACGTGCAAGTTCGAGGGCTTGCGACGTCAAAAGGCCAAGGTTCTCCACATCCCAGCTGGAAATATGACCACGCTGAAGCAAAAGTCACAAGATTGGTAACCTCGGCGATGCTTAAAGGACGCATGTGGGAATAAAAGGACCCCCATGGCAACATGTTGCGGAACTTGACGCTCCCTAGGTTGAAGCCTTGCACATTTATCAACCTGTCTGATGATCTCCCTGACTTGTCTACCCACGCCCCAAAGGTCAAATGTACCGTGGGGATTGTCTCACGACTAGGCCCTCAGCTGCCCTCAGGTTCCCGGACGTCTCACATCCGTGCCGATCCATCCGCCTTGAGCTTCGTGTCGACCTCCAGGTCCGACTGAAAGAGCTTCAAGGCCACCCGTGTCAACGCACCTCCGCTGACCCTTTGGACCATGCGACCCCTGTGGAGGGCGCTGGGAGCAACACCGAAAAACGCGGCAGCGTGGAGCCACTGGAGCCCTTCCTTTGAATCCGACTTGCGACCTCCAAGTCTGTACCTCTGGCCCTCAACATCGAACTTTCATCTTGCCCCATCTCACCCCCTCTCGCCCTCTCTCTCTCTCTCTCTCTCTCTCTCTCTCTCTCTCCCTCACTTTGAAGGAACGTCTCTTTGTCTCAGTTCCAGCTAGCCGCAAGACTCTGGCTCTTCGCACGAACCGCACAGCCGCTGTTTGCATCTCAAAGTCTGTGCATCCACTACTGACTGGCAGCCAAGCGATTGGTCGACAGACGAC